GGATATAGCTGACAGGGGAGGCAGCAACTAAGGATAACACAGAGACATAAACCAAAAGACAGAACTCTAACAAAGAAACCAAAGACTAGAAATTATAAATAATATAATGAACTCAAAACCCCTGGGTCAACGACCCAGGCATCCTAACACTTTCAAAGTAGAGCAAGGCTGAAGGCTACTAATAAACGAGGTATGTTCAACAGAAAACCTTAGTTCTCTGTGTCACGAAGGTGTCTCTCTTTTACTCTGACCACATCACCATGCTAGCTGGTGCAACTAATCTGGTCTGGACAATAATAACAGTTTTAGATGGAAAGCATCTTAAAATTGCCTCTTTTTTCTGAACATCTCCTTTGAAAGTAGCATCATGTGAGTCACACTTGTTAAGGTAATACATGCTAAATGAGCCGTAGCTTTCAATGCATCACCGGATGAAGCCTTGCAGTTACAGTAGCTCACTGCGGGTATCACGTTGCCAAGGGAACTAATAAAGCATACAGTGATCGGAATGATTTTGTATTGATGCAGGTTGTCATTGCTCATACTGAACTACTTAAACTCCAAGTAGACAATCGCTCCATTCCTCATTACCATAGATAATATCTAAGAAATAAAACAATCATTATCATTTCTTTACAGCTATTTATTAATGACTGACTTATATATATATATATATATTGTACTATTCTTAGTTAGCATATTGTCTGTCTTGTTAATGTTGGTTTATGTTGGTTTATAATGGAGCACTGTAACAAAAAATAATTTCCCCCAGGGATCAATAAAGTATTCTGATTCTGAATCATTATCAAATTCTGATTTGCCATAGATAAAGGGATTTTATAGGTAGGCTATCACGTAAAAATCTGCTACATAAAATTAATTTCATTTTCATGTGGTTTAGAGGTCAGCTATGGATACTCGGCTGTGAGAATTTTTAACAGAGCGCAAAGTTGAAGAAGATGTGATCAAGAAACTTGAAGATGAGAATGTAAGCCACTGCAGCTGTTGCTGTGTGCGTGCGTGTGTGTCTGTGTGTTTGTTTGTGAACGGAGAGCCGCAATCCACAATTTACTATGCACATTCTAAAAAGATTTATTGAATTTCATATTTTGGTTTAATCAATGACATTAATTAATGACGTGATATGTTTAAAGAGTAATTTAAAAAGTAATTCTTGTTCATCTTATGTTGGACAAATGTGTACCACATTACCAAAAGTATCTGTTATCAAAAGTAGATAGCAAAAAACAACTCTAAAATATGCAGTTGTATGTATTCATTGTTTTTTAATATTGACACTTTTATTAATTTGTTGTTTATATTTTTCAGATTGATGAAACTGTCATTCCCTTAATGACAGACAGTGACCTGGCAAAGTACATCCCCAAAGTTTGCGATAGAGTCTCCACTGTGGCCTTCTGCAGACAAGCAACACTGTCACGGACGTCACCATCCAGGAAAGAATCTATACTCTCAAGGCTACGACAAAGACTGACAGGAGCTGAGGGAATGCCTCCTAAAAAGAAATTGTCTCAGTGGGCAGAAAATACAAATGCAAAACGAACAGTGAGACGAACTGAGGTTGGCTGGATGGATTTTGATGAGGAGAAGGGTGGGTTCAAACAGGTGAAGTCTGTAAGTGGTGGTGGAACAAGGCATTTATCTGTAGATAAAAATGAAACCGTGTCAAATATCAAACTTATGGCTGAAAATCTGTTTTTCCCCAATGGCATCTCAAAAAACCCCAAAAGTCTTTCACACTAGTCAACTCATATTGAGAGCTCACAGATGCATGTGGATGCTTCCAGTACAGTTGATGAGTTGTATATGTTGTGCCCTTAAACAGGGGAAATAGTGAGGAGAGGTGAAAGAGCGGCACAGACATGCAGCTCTCACTCTCACTCGTCTGTATTGAGTTTCAGAAGCAATACAACCAAAACAATGTTCTTATGGATGCACTCAGTCTCAGGACAACTGTATCCAAACTAAGTCACTATTGTTCGCTGCATTAGCTGATGAGAATACTTTAGATAACATGAACTGTAGCATTAGACAAAAACATCTTTTAACTCGCACATGTTAGCTGACACAGTCACTAACTTTCCACAGCAATGAAATAATACTTTAAGTACTGCATGTCTTTCAGTAGTTAACTTATACAGATAGTAACAGAAAAATCTTCACACAATATGGCGGAGTAATAGCGAAAACTAGCATACGCAGCAACAGAGATTAACTGGAACTTCTCAGAATAGTCCGCAATTCACATCTTTCGCTACAATGAACAATGATAACAACGTAATAATCAACGGTAACACACATTTATACAGATTTGTGCATGACAGTTACCTTAAACAGGGGAAATAGTGAGGAGAGGTGAAAGAGCGGCACAGACACGCAGCTCTCACTCTCACTCGTCTGTATTGAGTGAAGGAGGAAGCGCGCGAACCCACCTACTGGAGCCCTGAGGCATTAGCAATGGATCGACGCACAATCAACCCAGGCAAAACTTTCACTGCTTATCTCCCTCTATATTCCCACTGCATATTCTATTCGAAAACAGTCAAAGCAACCAATAAAACATTAATAAAGGCATCACATAAAATGTAAGGAACAGAGATGTACAACTCCAAAACTAATGAAAATTATGATCCACCACATATAAGCAAAGTAAGGTCAAAATTCTGCGACTTTATCTGTGTACCAGAAAGAAAACACAACAGCATCCCCAAGACGTAGAGGCCGATCATGCAATAACCCAGCCCTCTGTGGTAGATCTCACTGACAATGAACCTAATCGGGCCGCTGATGATCTGTTGGTGGAAAACATAAATTCAGAACCATCAAACCACTTTGTAATTAATGATGGAGCTTCCATAAGTGGATATTTGGAACTGAATGACACATAACCATGGGATGGTCTGCCAAAAGTAGGTGAAAGTGAAGATTCTGATGCAGTTGTTATTATTAGTGGGGATAACAGGGTGGATATTAGTGTGGTTGAACTAAACCCTGAAACAGTGTTTACAGAAAAAGAGTCTGATCCACGTCATCACACATTGTCTCTCTCACCGGGGCTGACAGGAGAGGCCAATATTCCTGACCAAGCACCCCCTGAACCACGATCTTGTCCCGTAATACTGACTGTTAGAAGAGGTCATTGTCTTACTGATTTGATCAGTGCCTTTAAGGACTCAAACATTATTTCATCTGAGGTCAATATCAAAATGTTGTTACCAAATGGAGAGCTTGAACAGGGGGAAGGAAGTGGTGTTTTGCGAGACTGCCTGACAGAATTTTGGATGGATTTCTATGACAGCTGCACATTGGGAGTTGAGGTGAAAGTCCCATTCATCCGGCATGACTTTCAGTGTGAAGAATGGCAGGCTATAGCTAGAGTGTTTGTTGTAGGGTGGAAACAAGCTGGTTACTTCCCAGTGACGCTTGCAATACCCTTTCTGGAGGAGATATTGTGCCGCTCGACAACCAGTAGTTTAAAAGATTCCTTTCTTTTGGACGTCTCACAAGAAGAGCGATCTGTTCTCCTGAAGGCTTTGGATGACTTCAATTCAGTGGATACAGATGAATTGCTGGAAGTACTTGATGCACATGAGTGCAAGCAGGTTCCTACTAAGGACACACTGCTCCCTGTTTTGGCACAGATAGGACACAAAGTACTTATTCAGGCCCCAATGTCTGTAATCAAGTGCTGGCGTCCCGTTGTGGGTTCTGTAGCTGGTTTACTCCCACCAGAAGGACTGCATCATTTCATTGCAGAAAAAAACCCAACTGTAAAAACAGTGAAGGAGCTTCTAATCTTTCCAGAGGAGATGACAGCTGCCCAGTCAACAGTTTCTCGTTACCTGAAAAGGTACATTGGAGAAATTGATTTCAATATCTCCCAGACCACAGACTCATAATACAAGTCAGTGCTTTATAAAAAAGAAAAGAAAAAAGAAAGTTGTGTTTTCAAAATTGGAGTTCAAGTTATTTTTACTTCCAATAGTGTTAACATGCTACATGGGTAGTGTAGTATGTGTAGACGATTTTTTTTTAAATTTTCATTGTAAGTGGGCTAAAGCAGTTAATTAAAAGTAGTCTAACATAAACGCTGTAATTTGATTATTTTAATAAACAAGTAACTTGGATGGATTCGATGCTGGCGTGACCACAGTGCACACGTCTGCTGTTGCTCACAGTGGTCCAAGGGACGCTCAGGGAGTTTGTGTGTTCGCTCAGACACGTGAAACATTAGAGGGAACATTGTCTACCACACATCACACTCATAAAAAGCATGACTACAGTTTTATAGTTTTTATTATGTTTTTACTGATTAAACAGTAAAAGTTAATTTAAAAAAATCCCAAAACAGATTCCCACTGATGTCAACATCTCCCAATGTTAAATTTTGAAGGAATCAACACAGACAATTAAATGTGAAAATGTCACATTTGACTTCTTTTCTCATCAGCACATGAGCATTTATATCATAAATCACATTTATATTGGGTTATATTTGATCCTGTATTACTGAAAACTATGACTTAAGTGGAAGTTAATGAAAACTGATGATATTACTCTTAATTTATTGAGGCTCTTCCATAACTCAGATTATGTTATTAATCTGTTGCAGATCTTATTACTGCCTCATGAATCAGATTTTAACAGGATGTGTTCAGTTTAACTCTCTCACCACTTTAAAGGCTGAAGCTTTAAATCATAATTTAATAATGTTTTATTTTTATAAAACATATTTTAAATAGAAACACTTTTATAATTTCACCATAACAAAGTTCACTTCCTGCATGAAGGTGATCACAGCTCCATGAACTATTCCCACAAACATCACTGAGCCTCAGACTTTCTTTAACAGGCCTGTCAGACCACAGTGATCCAGCTGTTTGTGTTCATGTGGCACATTTATACGTTTCATTTCAAATCTACTTCACATTTTATTATCTGATATCTGCGACACACGGAGACTTCCTGTTAAACAGAAAGTAAACTTTGTGCGTGGGCGTGTTTGGAGCTGCAGGTGTGTCCAGCTGTGGGTTCGTTGGGTCAGCAGAGGATTTAACGGGACTTTGTGTCGGTTTGAGTTGTTTTTAAAGGAGGATGAAGACGCTGGTGGTGCTCCTGCTCCTCATGAACGGTAAGAAAGTCTCTGTTTAACCTGCAGCAGCTCCGCAGACAGTCCTCTGTGACCGGAAGTGCTACACTCAGGTGCAGCTCGCGCCTCTGACGTCCAGGGGTCTGCTTTGGTCTTTTCTGAGTAGTGCGATTCCCGCTGCCGTGAGCCTCTTTGGGCTCTCGTACTCTGGGGGCATCTAGATGTCTGGAACCTGCATCTCCTCCATGCCTGCTTCATCTCCTGGGGGGGCTATGGCTCCATATACCCACTATTAGACAGTTACATTGTAAAAGCTTGTGAACAGAAGCGCTCACACACACAGGTGCACACACACGTACTCACAGACACACTATCTTGGTTGGCTGCTGCCTCTAAACATATCATGTAGTCCTGTGTGCTGCTGTTAAGGGTTCAAATATTGAGGAGGGATACAGGAGGAATTCCAAAACAACAACACTGATCCGGCCGGGTGGAGTCAAACGATGATTTTAATGAACACACGCAGCGTGGGGAGATGTACACTGCAAAACATCAGCTGTAGATCTCCGCCCAAAAAGACACTTCAGATTGCTTTTGATTCATCAGGGTTAACGCCCCCTCATGCGTCATCAGATACAAAACATGCACACGTCAAGTCAAAACCACGATGACTTTTAACACAGTTTGAAAAGAACATCGCCTCGTCTCCATCCCAGGAGTCTTCCTGTCGCACGTCCTGCCGCGCTCATCTTCTGGAACATCAGGCCCACCTTCTGCAACAAACTGTTCTTTTGCAAACACAATTCTGCAGTTGCAAGCTTTTACAAAATATCACTTGAACCTTCACCTACCCCTGAGTCTAACTGCTGTGTAAGTGTGTGTGTGTCGACCTGACATTCACTCAGTTTCACCTCTCACCTCACCAGCTAAACCTTGTAACCTTTCCACCAGACAGAAGGCCAGCACGTACACATTGAAGATTATAACAAGCATTCAAAAGCATTTAAGATTATAGATTTAACTCAACAGTTTAAAGTGGTTATAACTGCACCTGTAATAAAGGCTAATTGGGTACCAATATGTTTAAACATCTGAATGCAATATCAATATTAATTATTAATGCAATGGTAATGATGGTTATTAACAATAGCAGCAAAATATTTCTCTAATCCCCACACTGCTCAGTGTGTCTTATAAGCAGGTTTGGAGCAGATCCTCAGTGTTTCTTTCTCTCCCTCTCCTTCTGTAAACTTCCTCACCAATTTCTTTCTTTTTCCTTTCTTCGGAAGGTCAAAATAAAAAATCCTAATAAATTTCTAATAAAATATGACTGCCATTATAGCAAAAGCAGTAATGATGCACTTTGGAAAATAATTCTTTTGGGCATTTTTTGGCCTTCAGATAATAATTCTCATTCTCGTCTTGTCCTGTGCAGCTATACTGCCGGACAGGACAGGCAAAAAACAGAATATAATAATCATGGCTGTCAGTGTTAACGCATTTAAGCCCCATTAACACAATTTTCATGACTAACGCGATTAACAATTAAGCCATCTGAGTGCAGAATGACTTAAAATCCCTGAAATGTCTCTGTCAATGCATTTTGGGCAGTTTTTCTAAAGCTTGTGCAGAAGCCCCCCTGCTGGATGAGCCCCATCCAGGGGTCTGCTTTGGTCTTTTCCAAAAGAAAAGAGAGAGACTGCAGCAGTCCAGGAGTTTGGTTAATTTTTTTAAATTAAGTCCCACCAAAGATTTGTTTACATGAAAATGTTTGTGAGGCTTAATCTGAGTTCGGTGCAGCCAAACTTGAACTTCTTGTTTTATAGTAAACAGCACGTGTGACTATAAACATGGTTTTCTGGAAACAGAAATGGACAATTTTATCATTAGTAGAGTCATAGATAACTAGGAAAACAATCACAACACATCATCTACTCAACACAAGCAACATCTCACAATGTCCACAAGGGGTCACTGCAGACCCAGAATTGGCTAAATAGCGCATGTCTTACAAGTTGCTAATAGTGAGGCATAAATATGGCAAGCTAGCAACAGCTAAAGGAAACCATAGAAAAGTCCTTTATTCCTCATCCCGCTGATTGTAGTCATTGCAGGAGATTACAGCCAGATTATAATCAGCATCATGTTAATGAATCTGCCAAAGTAAGAACACTTACAGATCCATCAACTCACTCGGTCACACAAAACTGCATCATAGCTGCGTCACAGCAGCTCCTTCAGTCATTCCCACTCTGTGTGCTGAGCACGTGACCACTGGTGCGCTTGTTTCCTTTGGGTGCGCTTGATTCTTGCTTCTAGACATCCTGAGGCCGAGTCAGAGCAGGAAGTTGGAACAATGTTTGTATTTTTGTGCAAAGCTAACTGAAGCTTGTGCTGTATTAACATAATGATAAAATCATATCAGTATATGTGAGTACAAACTTTAGTCTAACTTTTTATTCTAACTGTATTCAGCTTGAACCAGAAGAAAAAGAAGGACAATAAAACTATGTTTCTATTTCCTGTTGCTACATTGTAGAGGGCGACTTTGCCTCTAAACAGGAACATGTGTACAGCCCTGCATCAGCAGCTTCATTCTTATACAGACCTTTCTACTCTGTGTGTTAAACTGAGCTCTATGTTTGCTACATAGCAGTCAATGAATCCAGTTTTTACACCACAGTTAAGTTAATGTAGTTAAATCTGTGTATTTGTAACTCAAACATTCAGTGTTTTAAACAGAAACCTGACTTTGACATATTTAAGTTGGTATGAACACAGTCAGAGCTGCTGCTGCTTTTATTGTTCTGTTGCTTTTTCAAAGCTTTCTGTGCAAATCAATAGAAATATTTATTGTTGCATCTTAAAGCTGCCAGCACAGCAGCAGCATGAGGAGAAGAGTGTTTGCTCAGGAAATACACGGGTCCCTGAAGAGTTCAAACAGGAAATATTCCTGCATTAAATCTGCAGTTCAATCATCAGCAGATTACTGTCAGTGTCATCTGTCACCAGGCAGGTTTTAACAGGCGTGTAAGCCACATATTATTAGAACACCCTTTTATATTTGGATGATAAACACATTTAGTTGTGTTTGGTCTTTAACTTGTGCTCAGTTTCCACAATGAATTCATGATGGAAATCTCTAATAAACTATCAAAACTGACACTATTTCCCCCACCACACTCTCTGTTGGTGGCTGGTGCCCCCATCCTCTGGTGAGTTGGTGGTTCTTGGTGCTCAGGTGTGTTCTGGCTAATGGCTGCTTGGTGGGGCCTGGCCCCCTGGCTCTGTCAGGCCCCTGCTTGGGTTTTTGTTTTTTAGGCAGGTTTGCAGCAGATCCTCAGGGTTTTTTTTTTCTCTTCCTCACCTTCTGTAAACTTCTTCAGCAGTTTCTTCTTTTTCCTTTTCTGTTCTGATTGTAATACCTCAAAATAAAAACTTCTAATAAAATATGACCATTTTAGCAAAAGCAGTAATGATGCACTTGGGAAAATCACAACACATGTAAGAAGAAGAAAGTTCAGATATGTGTTTAAAATTGTAGGGAGTAAAAAGTAGTTAGAAAAAAACTACTCAGGTAAAGTACAGATACCTGAAAATTGTACTTAAGTACTTACTGCCCAACTCTGGAGAAGTTTTTATTACTCACATTATGTAAATTAACTACACGGCTCTACACTAACTTTTTGCCTTGTGTTACCGCGCCAGATCCGCGGCCTCGAACCGTAGTAAACCTCTGGCAGTTACTTCAAGGTTCCGTAACTGGCTCGTAGCCGGAAACAGCTTACTATACAGGTCAACTCCGCTCGCAAAAAGATCGAAGGAGGCATAGGAAACTGCTTCACCGAGCTTTATTTCTTCTCTAAGGCACGAACACCGTGTACAGTGGGCTGAAACAGTTTACTCACAGCGAGCATCGCCGACACAACTCTGGCTGTCGAGGGAGTATTATATTCCTTTTATTTATTGTCTTTCCGTCTCTTCTGTAGCTAACCGTTACTTTTCACCTTCTCCGCTCTCTCTTCACACACCGGCGCAGTCCCGCTACACACAACCCGAAAACATTACCCATCTGGTTTCACCCTTAAATCTCACGATTTTCTTTTCCAGTATAAATATTTATTGCACATCAACTTCGTAACAGTTGAGACTGAACATAAAAACAATAAATAAACATAAAAACAACAAATGTCTCACGTTGTGTTGTTGCCGCAAAATGTTGTCCTGCTTGAAATTCCGTCTCCACCGTTGCTCGACGCTGCGTGTATAGAGCAGGTAGTGCAACAATAGAAAAATAGTTGCGGGACGGCACTGTGTAGCGTTTGTCTCTAGGGTGTTGATCATTTTCCTAAATCCCTCGTTTTGCACAGTGTTGATGGAGCCATATCTGTGGTCAGGTGATTGTTAGGTAAACTGACACGGATGGATTACGTGGCAGAAACACACACGGACACAAAATAGTTGTGATGCAAGTTTATATACAAGAATAGGGAATATTTACAAGGAAGGGGGCTATATACAGTGATAGATAAAAATGTGCCAGGAGATTAACACCGAAGAGATGAGACGAAGCCGAGGTATGCGGGTAGGCAGATGACGCACCGGAGCTACCTGACAATAGTGATGGGACGTTCTGTATCGAGGCTTCGGAGCGTGTGTCGAGTAATGGAGGGGGCGTTTCCGCGAAGCGCGTATCGAGGCTTGCTTCATTTATGGGAGGAGCTGAAAATGATGACGTCCGAAGCCTCGCTGCCCGGCTGTACCACGTGACTGGTTCATGAAGTGGTTCGAACTTTGCCGCGAGCTATGACAGCGATATAAACCCCTCAGACTTCAATCAAAATGTGGGTGTTTGATGGAGAGTTGCGGTTAGAGAGAGTTTGGAGACAGTTTGGAGGTTTATGAGAGTGAGGAGAGAAAGTCAGGAGAGAATGGAGCCAGCTAAGAAGAGGAGGATGTCCTCCCCTGTGTGGGAACATTTTGATTTTATTCCTCCCAACAAGGTATGTAAATTTCTACAGAAGATGTATTGTCATGATACTGATGGTGCAATACAATTTATGTTGAGCTGTCTTGACTTTTGTACAAGGTGAAGTGTTTGCTATGTGCCAGGGAGCTGGGATATAACAACAACACCTCATCCATGCTTAGTCACTACAGAGCTTTACATGAGAATAAGAGGAACACCGATTGTGGAGCAAGACCAGGTGAGCCATCAAATGCAATGATAATATAGCATGCAGTAATGTTACTAAATGATATAACAATATTATACAACTGTTATAAGTTACGTGTGTGATATTTATATTTGTGCTTTGTCTTCATTGTCTTTCCTCAGGAGAACAATCTCAAATAGATGAAGACCTGGTCAGCATGGTGATTGAGGACTCCCAGCCATTTAGCATTGTGGAGGACAAAGGATTCAAAAGATTTGTTAAATCATTAAATCCCAGCTATGTTCTCCCCAGTAAAAAGGACGTAAAAGCAGTGAAAATTTAGTTTTTACAGAATAAAATGTGAACAGGCAGGACTGAGGCTCAAAGCCTCAGTGTGTAGCTGTCCATACCTCAACGTTACAAAAGCACAACCACTGTCCACACCCCAACCACACCTCACCTCACAGTAAATGATCATTTCCATTTTAAGCATTTCCAAATAATCATTTTCCATACTGCCAGTATAAATATACACAGTATACTGCCATCAATACAATATACATGTTTTACACACTCCTTTTGTTGTTGACATTTACAGGCTGTGTGCAAAATGCCACACTCTTCAAATTCATGCCAGCTATTATTTTTACGTCCAGTAGGTGTCCTGCTAGAGCAAATGAAGCTTCATGAAGCTTCGCGTTGGGGTGAACCAATTGGATGAAAAGCTTCAGTGCTTCATGGGGCTTCATCTGCCCATCACTACCTGACAACAAGGAACAAAACAGTTTACGGCGTACCGTTGATAGCCGAAAGTTAAACACAAGTGGACGGAGAGAGTTGGAGAGCTTACTTGAAACACAAACCACGGCTGCTGCAGTGACCGCAGCCCGATGGAACGTAGCTCTCCGTCGTGGATCCACAGTAGCCAACACAAAAACCTAGGCAGGCGGGCAAGCAGTGGAACAGGCTAAGACAAAAGAGAAGCAGGCAAAACGTGGATCCTTAAAACATACAGCTCCACAGCGTAGAATCAACAGATTCAGCTTGTGCTAACACGTTACCACTTGTGACAGCGACAATACTCCGACACCAGACGTCCGTGACTCTGCTCCCTAAAAGCGCTCACTGATGACGTCCGATGCGCCGCAGGTGTGCCGGAATGCCATCAAGCCCCGCCTCGCCTACCTATACCAAAAAGGAAAACAAAACCCAAACAACAACAATACACCTACCCACCACCTCCTAACAGTGGTAAGTGATAGCCTCCGTAATTTCTTTGTGCCTGCGGGAGTTCGACGTGTATAGGGAAGCGCTGTATAAGGTTCCCGTTATTGATGTTTGGGTGGTTGACCGGGACGGATTTTCTCCTGTCACTTTCTCGTCATCCCTGACGTGCTCTCCGTTGTTTTTTCCCTGCTAATTTAGCATCACACGGCACAGCTTCTGTATCACGTGGTATAAGGCTCCGCCCTTGTCATTTGTTGAGCAGGAAGAGTGAGCGCTTGTTTTCATGCAGATTATGTCCCGGATCAAAATGCGGTACAATCGTCTTTTTTTTTTATTTTGTTTTTTTAAATCGTTGTCATTTGGAAATGAGATCGCGATTTTCTAACGATTAATCGTGCAGCCCTAAACAACATCATAAAATATATGGCTCTTGAAGTACCAGCCTTATGACCCACATTAAAGTACAGTAGTAAAGGCCTATTTAACACCACAAACAGTTTACAAGAGACAATTTTATTTCTGATATGAATGTTATTTATTTTAACTGTCATAAACAGGATGTGACGAGTGACATTAGTAGCAACTGTACTGCATTAAAACACAGCAGCAGGTGGGATATCCAATCTTTAAGTGATGACCTGGTGAAACCTGCTTCTGGGTCCAAACTACTCTGAGTTTATTAAGGCTGTTGTGTTTTTAACATCTTTTAATGCTTTGAATCTTCTTCCATTTAATCTGAACAAGCCCCTAAAAGAAGTCAGTGATCACTGTCGGCCTCTCTCGGTTGTTATCACCACTGTTCATTTTAAAGCTCAGTTTTAAAAACCTTAGGCTGTAACTACAGCCCAGCCCATGCAGCAGTATATGAATGACTAACCTCGTATTGCGGATGGATTATCTCAGTGGTTCTCCTGACTGAAGTTTGGTCCTTTTACAGCATCCTGCCATGCGATTACATTTGTCACTAACCATCATTGAACATAATCACAATCATACTGAAGTTCCACCTTAATACAAAGATCATCCTCTGACTGAATGAAAGAGAAGAAGAGGTGTAGCGTTCACAACAACATCTGGATTTTTAAGGAGATTTTGAGATAATATTTTATTTTAAACTTCTCTTGATTTTTCACTTTTCTCCTTAAATCAGACTCACAATCTGATTGCAATTCTTTGCCAAAGTTTACATCGACCATAACAGATGAAGTCAGAGGATGATTAGTGGCAGAAACGGGCTTCCAACTTATCCCATTAAGTCACCAGCTGACACTAACAGAAAAAAGATATAAACACATTTCATCTTTAAAATGACTCGACAACAGCAGTCTGTACCTGGAGAGGATGACATGTGGCTGTCTGATCACAACCAATTCAAACCTCAGTCAAACGTCACCTTTGAACTAAAACTAAAACAAACAACTTTTCCTTTCAGATTTTCACATTTTTCTTGTAACATGTAAACAAACTGAAAACTCTGTGAGTTTATGAAAAATGTATCCTCATGGAGTTTGGAGTTTGCATGTTCTCCACATGTTTGTGTGGGTTCTCTCCGAGTACTCTGCTTTCCTCCCACAGTCCAAAGACACACAGTGAGTGTGGCTGGGTTATTGGATCTTTCTAAATCTCCATAGGTGTGAATTAGGGCTGGGTATCGTCACTGATTTCTAGAATCGATTCAATTCCGATTCACAAGGTCCAGAATCGATTCGATCCACGATTCGATTTAATTCGATTCGATTTAAATCTGGGAAATTTTGACAGTCAGAAATATAATTCAGATCAGTGCATTTACATATTTTTGTATCAATAAAAAGGAAGCTGACACACGCAAGACTTTATCACAGGTGTGAGCGTCACAGCAGATGCCTTTGTGTCAAAGTAGCTGAAGATAAAACACAGAAAAACATGAAGGTGATTTTCCTGGCCTGGGATTTTATAAAAATATTCTGCAGTACATCAAAAACGAAAGAAAACCATTAATCAACATATGAACATTACCTCTGAAGTTACAGCGGTTTTATTAGAGACACGGTCCGTGTTGGGAAGGTTACTTTTAAAATGTATTCCATTACAGAATACAGAATACATGCCCCAAAATGTATTCTGTAACGTATTCCGTTACATTACTCAATGACAGTAACGTATTCTGAATACTTTGGATTACTTAATATATTATCATGCTTTTTACAACAACGTGAATGTACTATTGCTGTGTGATTTATTACTATTACTGAAGGTCCGCGACTCCAAACTGTAGTAAAGGGACCTGACTAATACGGCGGGGTCCCTGTCGGCTCGTAGCTGAAAAATAGCTTTACTTTGTTGTGTGGGTCAACTTTTCTTGCGAGAGACAGAGAGAGGCGTTGAAAGGCTGCTCCAACGGAACTTATTGTTTTCGGAGGAAAACACGAACACGGTGTACAGTCGAGTCTTAATAGCTTACTTACAACTGGGCTCGTCAGGCACTCTTCTTGGCTGCAGTGGTTATTATTATATTTACATGCTTCCAGCTCCCGTTTTTCCTCGATGACAACTCGTACCTTTCCACTCCCCTTTTTCTCCCTCCTCGCGCTCACAGACCCATAACGTGTATGGCAGGCCATTCTCCCTGCAACACGGACTACACTGCCCATGATGCTACATTCTTTAGAGCTATGCTTGTAGCATTCTGCCTGTTAGCTTAGCACAACAACAACAACAACAACGAAAAGGCGCTCTCTCACCCAGGAAACACACAGTCGCAGAGAGAGAGAGAGAGCGTCGCCCTGTAACCATGGCAACCGTAACGCTGCCGCCTGGAACAACAGAACGTAGCTGTCAAACAAAACCCAAACAGTCCTGACCCGCCACAATATGAAACAGGAAAGTACCGCAGTGTAATCCATTTATTTCAACAAAGTAACTGTATTCTGAATACCACCTTTTTAAACGGTAACTGTAACGGAATACAGTTACTCATATTTTGTATTTTAAATACGTAACGGCGGTACATGTATTCCGTTACTCCCCAACACTGGACACGGCTAAGCATTTTGCATTTTGAATAATTTTAAAAAGTTTAAATTTGTTCAGTATTGAACAGCAGAAATGAGGTTTTCATTTCGGAAGAATGTAAAAGGGAAAAAAACAGCGGCCGACAGCGCTGTAAGCAACAGTAGACTTGTGCGTAACAAGCAAGCGACTAATGAAGAAAGGGAAACTGTTCTTGAAGAGAGAGAGAGAGAGGGAGAGAGAGAGAGAGAGAGAGAGAGAGAGAGAGAGAGAGAGAGAGGGAGAGAGAGAGAGAGCTGCGCATCGCGGTGGAAGCAAAACAGTAAAAGTCAGAGTGAATTCATGACGATGTTTATGTGAAGCGTTTGGATCTTCTTTTGCTGCTGGTTCGGTCAATATTGTTTGGAGAGACATCAAACTAACAGCTTTAGAATCAGCACATAAAGGGCGTGAACACAAAGCTCGGACCCGCCCACAGATCAGAATCAGCGAGCTGTCGGCTTTCAGCCCGGACCGTGAGAAAGGCGACATCTAACTGATTCTGATCCGCGGGTCGCGCTGTGTGTTTAAGTCTATGTGCAGAATCTGTGTACCTGCTCTCATTTACTGTCTTAACTGTTTGGTGGTTCTTGAAATTTTGTGAGATGTCACCAGAGATTCTGGCATTTCGGGCAAAAATAAATAAATCTAAATAAATTTATATTAAAAGATCGATTCAGGATTTTAATGAATCGATTTTACGTTATCCAAGCCAGAATCGATTTTAATCGATGAATCGATTATAAAAACCCACCCCTAGTGTGAATGGTTGTCTCTCTTTCTGTTTTTTACTGAGACTGCTGACCTGTCCATGGTCCACACTACGATAGCTGAGATAGACTCCAGCTCCCCCGTGACTCTGAACTGGATAAGTGGAAGAGAATAGATGGATGGATGTTCAGTACCAGTGCACATTTTGAGCTATGAGCATGTTTGTTGCCAAATGCAGTGATCTGGCTGCCAAAAAATGTGGACTCTAAACTCAGAGTGAACTGATGCAGAGTTCAGGTTTAGACTCACACACAGCCGATTCATGTTTCTGTCTCTGTGTCCTCAGTTTCCCAGCATGCCTCGGCTCTGGAGGTGTATGAGGGGGTGGAGTCTGTCCTGCTGACCTGTCAGGACTCTTCTGTACCTGCACGTCCCACTCTGGTGTGGAGCCGCCACGACTTCAGTCCTCCAATCGTCCACCAGCGTAATGATGCAGGAGATGAACTGAGAAACCAAAACCAGCGTTACAGGAAAAGAACGTCCATGAAGACGGACTCTCTGAGGACTGGAGACTTCAGCCTCACTCTGAGGAACCCCATCACCTCTGACAGCGGCACCTACACCTGCACCATCACTGCATTTGGAAATGAACGGACACTGACAGCAGTAGAGCTGCAGGTCAAAGGTCAGCAACACACCCAACACACCAAGAAAGACTGTTGACCGTTTAACCTTTGTTGTAGCTGTTTACACAGATGTTCAGGCTCAGCTATCATCAGCCTGTGTGAACAGCTTCAGTCTTCATCGAGGACAAACCTCCACTCTGCTGCTCATCTACAGACTGAGTTCAGCCTCACTGTTCATAAATGAATGAATGAATGAAGCTTTATTTGTCACAAGCAGGTTGCCCTGCAGCGAGATGGGAACCCCCCCCGACCTTACACACATAACACAGACATCACATTGGGTTACAAGTCGGAGATCGGTAGCGTTGCAGAAAAACACTGAAATGTGATTAGTTTACAGTAAAGAACAGTGTGTGACTGCTGCACAGCTGCACAGCTGTGCTGTTCAGGGTCAGAGTTCACTCACATCAAGTGTAGCAAAGATGACACTTGGATTCATTCACTGGATTCAACCTTTATACCAACTGCCAACCATCTAGTATAAAGACATCATCAATACAGTTTACTGTATGCAGAAAAGGTTTCTCATGTACCAATCAAAGAGCTACTTTGAGTACATGTCAGAGCCTGTACTGTAGAAGTTAAATCAGTACTTCAACTTTTACTGGAGTATTCTTAACACACGTATTTGTACTTTGACTTAAGTACAGACAGTCTGTCCTTTTGCCGTCTCTGCACACAGCTGATTCATGTGTCTCTGTGTCCTCAGTGTCCCACCAAGTCTTCACCCTGGAGGTGTACGAGGGGGCGGAGTCAGCCCTGCTGCCCTGTCACATCCCGTTTGTATCTGGACCCACCACAGGGGTGTGGAGCCGCTACGACCTCAATCCTCCAACCGTCCACCAGCGTCAGCAGGAAGAGGACGAGCTGACAGATCAAAACCAGCGTTACAGAGACCGAACATCCATGAAGACTGACGCTCTGCAGACTGGAGACTTCAGCCTCACTCTGAGGAAACCCCACATCTTTGACAGCAGCAACTACACCTGCACCATCAGAGTGAGGGGAGAAGAACCCAGACTGACAGATGTTCAGCTGCAGGTCAAAGGTCAGCAGCACACACCAAATCCTAGTTTTTACCATGAGGTTTTCCTGAAGCTGAAGTTACAGCTCATGTTTTCAGTTAGCTTTTAAAAATCTCTTTTCCTCCTTTTAAGACATTTTGTTTTGATTATGATGTAAACAGTGAAAGGATTTTCAGGGTTAACAAACTTTTAGTGAGGGTGCTGAAAGGAAAAGCAAAGATGATCTATCATCAGAAACCAAGAGTTAGATATAGAAGAAGAACTGGTAACTAAATCAGAGGTGTGTAGAAATGAAACAGTGATAATTATCACAGCGTTCAGAGAGGGAAAGGACAGATTACTGGAGGTGAGCAGGCAGGATGGAGGTGGAGAGCGGGCAGGCAGGTGGACGAGGAGGCCAGGTGAGTAAATCCAGGAAGCTTGAGATATGCAGGAGCAGCACTTCTGAGAGACCAAACAGGAGTTATGTGGGACTGTAGGAGTGAGGTTAGGAGGCAACAGAATAACAGGATTATTACTCGAAGCCGGATAACTGAAAGGAAAACACAAGAGATCTTACATTGTGATGGTTTATGATTATGATCCTACTATGATATCCACAACTTGATTTTTCAAGGTAAAGTTTTTGTTGTGTGCCTAGTAGCTGGAGTACAACAACATCTGATCTGTGGGTATCATCTATATCACCCCTGCCTCTCTGAGTGAAAGGGTTTTCTCTAAAACTGAAGAGGTTATCACCAAAAACCATCTGAGTCGAGCAGAGTGGAAAAATATTTCTTAATAAAAATGATTAATGCCACCATCACTATTTGAGCACAGTCACTGCCCATCATTTGAAAACACTGCAACAGCTTTAACATAAACATGTGGTTATGTTAAAGCAGTACACACCTCCACAGGGGTGTGTACTGAGCCCTCTCCTGTACTCACTCTACACCTACGACTGCACAGCCACTAACAGCTCCAACATCATTGTGAAGTTTGCGGACGACACTACAGTGGTGGGTCTTATCACCAACGGTGATGAGACGGCTTACAGGGAGGAGGTCAGCGCCCTGACCCACTGGTGTCAAGACAACCATCTCACCCTCAACGTCGCAAAGACAAAGGAGTTGATAGTGGACTTCCGGAGGTGCAGAGAAGCACACACCCCCATCACCATCAACGGCGCTGCTGTGGAGAGAGTGAGCAGCTTCCGTGTCCTTGGTGTACATCTGGCTGAGGATCTTACGTGGTCAGTACACACAAACAAAACAGTGAAGAAGGCGCAGCAGCGCCTCTTCTTTCTCAGGAGACTGAAAAGATTCGGCATGAGCCCCCGCATCCTCAGGACCTTCTATCACTGTGCCATTGAGAGCATCCTCACTGGATGCATCACCACCTGGTATGGCAACAGCACCGCTTACAACCGCAAAGCTCTCCGGAGAGTAGTGCGGTGCTCTGAACGGATAATTGGAGGTGAGCTTCCCTCCCTCCAGGACATCTACAGGAAGCGCTGCCTGAGGAAAGCGGGGAGGATCATCAAGGACTCCAGTCACCCCAGCCATAAACTGTTCAGACTGCTTCCATCAGGAAGGAGGTTCTGCAGCATCCGGTCCCGTACCAGCAGACTGAGAGACAGCTTTTTCCACCAGGCCATCAGACTGCTGAACACGTCATAGACACCTCAGCTTCACTACTGGAACTTCAACATTATGCACTCCATACTGTACAGTAATGCCACTGTTTTGCACATGACTCAACTCTGTATATTTTATATATTTATTATTGTTTACTCTATTTAATTTGTAAAATACACACACACACACACACGTAGAAAAACATTTAGTACACACATCCAGTGATGCATATACTATTATATATTGTACATATATTTATTAGTTTCAGATTTAGCCATTCTTGTATCTTGCTTGTTTACGTTATTGTATTTTTGCACAACTCTGTTGCTTGTGAAGCTCACACACAAGAATTTCACTCACATGTACTGTACCAATGTACCTGCACATGTGATGTGACAATAAAAGTGATTTGATTTGATTTTTGCTGGATTTGACTGAAATCATACTGACTGAAGTTTTTTTGACATTGATGGAATTTTATGTCTTAGACTCACACATTAATCAGTAACAGATTAGATGAATTAATCAGTCACAGCTGTGAGAAGCAAACCCCGGCCACAGTAGCTCCGCCCAGAGGTACACCTGCTAACTGTAGGGAAATAAAAAAGAGGAAAACAAACAGAAAGCCAGCCACACCCTCCCATTATAGAGCGACTAGAACAAGAGTTATTCAGACTGATGTGTTCAGTGTGCTCTGATGTTTGGGTGGAGGTATTTTCTGACTGATTTTATTCTTTAACCAGTGAAACTCTGCAATGAGCAGCAGACCTGATACAGCTCAGACTGGTTCACAATAATCGTGTCCATGTAAACCTCCTTCTGTTCTTGTTCTCACAGAGCCGTACACTTTCCCAGCTGAGGCCTGGGTGATCCTGGCTGTCCTGGCCATCGCTGCCATTGTGGGTCTTGGAGTGTATTTATGGAAACTCCTCTACAGAGGTGTGTGTCTGTGTGTGTGTGTTTTTGTGTGTGTCTTAAAATAACTAAAGTCTCTGACAGTGTTCTACTTTATTTCTGAGGTTATTCCAGTGACCTCTGTGATAATAATCAGCTAGTTTAGGTTGATGTGTTCAGTGGAGGCTGCTATCAGCCCTATACCATCAAAATAATTGTATAATTCTCCTGCTTGTAAGTCAGAGTTATGATATGGTAATGTGACATGGTATTTACAACAGAACAATAACAAAATAAGCAGCCTTCTGTTTAAAATGTTGTTTTAATGGTAAGAGTTCCTCCCTGGAAGCTCTTGGTGTCATTTCCACATTTATAAACTCCCTATCTAAGCTCATAGTACATCTTCCGTCCATCCATCCATCCGTCCGTCCGTCCATCCGTCCGTCCATCCATCCATCCATCCATCCATCCATCCATCCATCCATCCATCCATCCATCCATCCATCCATCCATCCATCCATCCATCTCTTGGTGGTGGCAGCAGTCTAAGTAGAGAAGCCCAGATCTCCCCACAGCCGCCTCCACCTGCTCATCCAGGTTTAAGCTGAGGTGTTCGCAGCCCAGCTGAGAGATGTAATTTCTCCAGGTCTGCCACAGGGTAGCAGGTAGGACATCCCCAGCACACTTCACCCGGCAGGCATCCACCTCAGCTGGCTCCAACATCTTTGTTTTCATGGTCAGCTCTCTCTTCATCATGATGGACCGATGCAGAGTCCGCATTACTGCAGAGCCCCAATCCATCGGTCATCCCCTCTCAGATGTGATGAAGCCAATAGAACCACTTTTTCCTCAAAAACCAGACGAGATCCTGAGGCCACCAAAGTGAAAGAAAAAGTTATGAACAGGCAGCCCGGGCAAAGTTCATCACCCACCAGGAACAACTCCGACTTATTGCCAGCGATGTGGACCAACCTCTCACTGTGGTTGTACAGGGACTGAGTGGTTTGCAGCACTGGGCAATATTCCCGAAGCACCCCCACAGGATCTCTACGGAAAACCCCCAAGTTGACAAGATACAACACACCCACCCCTGCCCACTGCCTGAGGGCAAGTCCAGTGTGAAAAGAGCCCCTCTCCAGTAAACTGGTTCCACAGCCCAAGGTATGTGTTCAGGTGAGACTGATTATATCTAGTCAGCATCTCCCAACCTCATGCATAGCTCAGGCTCTTTCCCCACCAGAGAGGCGACGTTCATGCCACAAGAGTCGGCCTGAGTAGTCAATTAATGGATCGCCACCTGATCCCTATGGCATCTCTGACGGGTGGTGAGCCTACAGGAGGACAAGCTCATATTGTGTCACCAGGTGTTCTCCCTTTAAGTACTTCTCCAGTCCTGGCTCCAGGGTGCTGCCCTGGTGAACTTATCCCAGGCAGGGTAAACTGATCCCTTGGTTTTTTGTCCTTCTTAGGGGTCTAGCACATTTGCATAAACTTACTTTTCTACAAACACTAAAATCCCAGTTAGAGATTAGTTTGTTATTTTGTGTACATCTTCAGTCAGTTGTGAATGATAAAGCAGAATCACAGTAAGAAAGATGTAGGCTACAGATTTAATCCTGACCTGATAATAACTCAGTGATGTACTCACTGTCTCCATCTTTACTGTCTCATCCATATTTGTATATATTTTATCCCTGTCAGGTTACAGATGAATAAGTAGGTTTTAAAATAAAATGTAAAATTAGAATTCCTGCTTCATGTCAAATAATTCAAATGTCTTTCCAGTGAGAAATAACAAAGACATCGTGGTGCACATTGGTGAAAATACCCAAATTCAGAATTTGATGGTTGCAACATACTCACCAAATGTTGGGGCAGAGGCATATTTACCATTGTGTTAGATCACCTTTGCTTTTAATGACAGTTTGTAATCACTTGATGATGATGCAGCCCACCCATGGATATACATACATACCATCAAAGCTCCTGGGCGTTTATAACAATCTGGATGTTTCTTTCAATCAGAGAACCAGGCTTAAACGTGGACTCATCTGACCACACACATGGTTTAACAGTCATTTGGTCCACTTGAGATGAGCTTGGGTTCAGTTTTTCTGCATAGAGTCGATGTATGGCTTCCTCTTTATGTCACTTTATACAATTAAGGAGAGAAAATTGTTCCATTTCAATTTGTAACATTTTTAACTCTGCTGCTGCTGCTGTCCGTACAGCTCATGTTGTGCTTTGTTGTCCTCTCAGTCCCCCCCGTGGAGGTGGATTCAGGGGTGGAGTCTGTCCAGCTGCCCTGCAAAACCACACTTCACCTGCCTGAAGACGCTAAAGTGGAGTGGAAGGACGGTGGTTATAAAAAGGTCCACGTGTATAAGAACGGCTCTGACCAGCCTGAAGAACAGCACCATGATTACAGAGACCGAACGAAGATGAATGAAGACCTGCTGAAAACTGGAGACCTCAGTCTGACCCTGAAACAGCCCACAGATGGAGAAGGAGGCATCTACACCTGCACCGTCTACAGCAGGGAGAGAAAGATCCTGATGAAGAAGGAAGTGGTGCTACAGGTCAGAGGTCAGTGATTAACAACTAAGTGGAAACATTCATCAGCTTAAAAAAGATATTTACATTTTTAAACTGAAGAAGCATTGGTAGAAACTTCCAACATTTTTTAAGAACTCAGCCCAACTTAAAATGTACAAACTGAACCTGCTCAATAGTGCACAAGTTGTTCAATTACAATAGATTTATACTGAGTGCCGACACTAAATACAGTCATAGTGTAGAATGGTACTTTTTGCAGTCATATGCATTATGTGGTTGGATAATTACAGCTGTTAAGAATTTTAAATACAGTGGAACCCCGACTTACGAAATTAATTCGTTCCCGAGGGTCTTTCGTAAGTCGAAGCACCCATCGCGTCTTTTGAGTGAATGATAGGCTATAGGCTAATTGCTAACTGCAACAACAATACGTCGTTCAAGTGGAACAGCGAAGCGCAAGTACGAAAGCCAAGGGGTTGTCACATGATTCGGAAGGCATTGTGGGCATTGTAGGCTCAGCCAATCAGAGACAGCGGATTTCGTTACTCGGGCATTTTGCCGTAACACGGGCAGAAATATTTTCGTTAGGTGCCTTTGTAACTTGAATTTTTCGTTAAATGAGGTATTCGTAAGTCGGGGTTCCACTGTACTTATATAATTTTAAAATACTGGTATAAAGTAGGGTAGAGTAGAAATGCTAAATGGACTGGTTCTTATATCGCGCTTTTCTTAACTAACCATCCACACACATTTATACTGGATGCATCGCAGAACAACATTGGGTTAGTACCGTGCCCAAGGATAGTAGGTATGCATACTGGAGCAGACTGGGATCAAACCACCAACCTTCAGTTAGTAGGTGACCTGCTCTACCATCTGTGCCACCTCTGCATTAAAGTTATTAAAGTATGAATAGATTAAACATGTACTCAAGTACATGTACTCCTCGTGGTCCTTTTCGTGATGTCGTCCAGTGACATTGATGGTGGTGGGTGGGGGCACCACAAAGTTTTTTTTTACATTCTCCTCCTACACAAACTCTCCTCTCTGTCTCTCAGTCCGTCAGGTGGAGGTGGATTCAGGGGTGGAGTCTGTCCAGCTGCCCTTCACCAAAGTTCACCTGCCTAAAGATGCTAAAGTGGAGTGGAAGGACAGTGATGATGATAACAGGAAGGTCCACGTGTATGAGAACGGCTCTGACTGGCCTGAAGAACAGCACCAGGATTACAGAGGCCGAACAGCAATGAAGCAAAACCTGCTGAAAACTGGAGACCTCAGTCTGACCCTGAAATACCCCACAGATGGAGACAACTCCACCTACACCTGCACCGTCTACAACAAGAAGAAGAAGATCCTGATGAAGAAAGAAGTGAGGCTGAAAGTCAGAGGTCAGTGCTGTAGATACAGGTCAAAGGTCAGAGGTCAGTGCTGTAGATACTGCTGTTTTGTTCTGTTGCTGTTTTCCAACCAAATTAGCAAGAACTTCTCTCAGCAGCTTTTGAGGAAGCTAAAAGGTTCCTTCAAACTTTTTTTGTTTTCTGACCTGAAAAGATCATTCAGGTTATTCTGCTGAGTTACCCAGCAAGTGGGCCGCCTCAGAGACTCACACGATCGACAGTCTACAGTTCCCTGTGGGCCCCACTGTAAAATGTAGGTCACATGTTGGCCCACAGCACAGCACAGTGCACACACGGTACATTAACCAACACCAAAAGGTCAAAGAAGAAGAGGAAAAAAAGCTACTTTGTAGACTCTCAGCTTTCATTACAGAGCATCCAAATTCAAATTGGATGAAGGGTTTAGGAGTTTCAGCTCCTTCACATGTGCCACACCCCCCTTTTTTTTTAAACGGACCAAAAGTAATTGGACAGTTGACTCAAAGGCTGTTTCATGTGAAGGTGTGGGCTATTCTTTTTCATTATGTCAATTATGCTCAATTAACCAGATAAAGGCCTGGAGTTGATTTGAGGTGTGGTGCTTGTATTTGGAAGATTTTGACAACATGCGTGGAAGAAGCTCTCCATGCAGGTGAAACGAGCCATACTTAAGCTGTGAGAACAGAAAAACATCCCAGAAATCGGCACAAGTTACAGTTTGGTCCATCCTGAGAGAGAAATAAAGCACTGATGAACGCACGCAAAAAGACCTGGACAGCTATGGAAGACAACAGTGGTGCATGATCTCAGAATTATTTCCAGAGTTAAGAGAAAGCTGTTCACAACAGCCAACCAAGCTAACAACACTCTCCAGTAAGAAGGCGTATAGATATCCAAGTCTACAATAAAGACAAGACTGCATGAAAGTAAAGTGAAGTACTTTGTGACATGGAGTCACACAACCACCTGCAAGTCAACACCTCAAAGACCCCTGAAATGAAGGGATTGTGTAAAAAAGACTTTAGTTCTCCACATTTTTAGGCAATCTTTTTGTTCAACTCACTGAATTAAAGCTAAAAGCGTTTGCGTGTTTATAACAATCTGGATGTTTCTTTCAATCAGAGAACCAGGCTTAAACGTGGACTCATCTGACCACACACATGGTTTAACAGTCATTTGATCCACTTGAGATGAGCTTGGGTTCAGTTTTTCTACATAGAGTCAATGTATGGCTTCCTCTTTATGTCACTCTAAGGAGAGAAAATTGTTCCATTTCATTTCAATTCAGTATTCTCATTACATTTTGAACTCTGCTGCTGCTGCTGTCTGTACAGCTCATGTTGTGCTTTGTTGTCCTCTCAGTCCCCCAGGTGGAGGTGGATTCAGGGGTGGAGTCTGTCCAGCTGCCCCTCAACACCACACTTCACCTGCCTGAAGACGCTAAAGTGGAGTGGAAGGACAAAGGCAGCAGGATGATCTATGTTCATCAGAACGGCTCTGACCAGCCTGAAGAACAACACCAGGATTACAGAGACCGAACGAAGATGAAGAGAAACTTACAGAAACCTGGAGACCTCAGTCTGACCCTGAAATACCCCACAGATGGAGACACCTACACCTGCACCGTCTACAGCAGGGAGGGAAACATCCTGCTGAAGAAACAAGTGCAGCTGAAACTGAGAGGTCAGTGCTGTAGATACAGGTCAAAGGTCAGAGGTCAGTGCTGTAGATACAGGTCAAAGGTCAGAGGTCAGTGCTGTAGATACAGGTCAAAGGTCAGAGGTCAGTGCTGTAGATACAGGTCAAAGGTCAGAGGTCAGTGCTGTAGATACAGGTTTTTGTTTGTATTTTCTGTCACACTTACCCAAATGGAAAAAGTCATAATAGAGTTACTGAATCATCAAGGTGCACGTACGAGCTTTAGTTTGAAAGGTAACATGTTGTAGTGTAGAAATATTTGTGTGGACGGTCCAAATGTGAAAGGACAAAAACCTTTCTGAACAGGTGAAGAAAGTCATAGAGTCAACCTTTTAAGAAAATCACAGCTCTGGGGGCAAAAACATTAAAGAAAATGTGAACAACAAAATATAAAAATAGTATCTAAAAATCCAGCTCTGAGTAAAGCAGTTCAAACCCA